TCACTAATTGCATATTTAGTCGAGTTTCTTGTGAAAGGAAAGAGGGGGAAGGTGAAGATTTCAACAGTAGAGAAGAAAGGAGAAGAAGAAAAGAGTAGGAAGTCTACCAGGATTGTAAAATTAACCCTAKCCGCCTACCTCTCATTATATTTATACTTAACTTAAAGGATGAGATATTACAAGGATGCCCTTAGTAGGGTGGCTCCTAATATAGCTGAACAATCACAACTTAAAAAAACATATAACTAATGGGCCTAAAGCCCAACAACTTCCTAACTAAATAAAAAACAACTCGGACCAACTCAACAAAATATAAATTGCAAAAACATGTAACACCTAAGCAAAATTTCAGAACAATTACATAAATTGCAAAAACATTATTATAAAAAAAAAATATGCCATCCCATGTTTAAATGAATGTAAAGCATCAAAGGCAATCAAAGCAATGGTGCCCACACTTCAATTTATAGTATTTTATTTATTATAGATATTATAATAAACTAAGTTTTTTATAGGTGTTACAAAAAACTAAGTTTGGAGGGTTTCCATGCTTTTATTGTTTTAATATATGTAATGGAGAATGTAATGAAATCATTTGTCCACTTCTATTTATAATATTTTATTATAAAAAAATTGTCTCAAAAGCTAAGAGCATATGACACATACACCTCCTGCATAAAGTGCATCAGAAGCATAAAGGCATATGCTCCTCTTGTATAATTCCCCTGCCCCCTTTTTAATACAAGTAACATTTCATAAGAGAACTCCAAGTTGCCCCACTGAGAAAGCAACAGGCCAAAACTGTACACGTACAATTCCAATACAAACAGAATACAAAACAGCGCACCCATTTGAATGAGCTGTTAAAATGGTCCTTTACTGCTCCTGCTCTAGCCAACGAATCAGCTATGGAATTTGTACTTCTAGGCACCCATTTGAATGAGCCATTCAAACTGTTGCCAGATATTGTGCCTGTCTAACCAGATATCTAAAACTGCATGGAATATCTTCTTATTTCTGCATTCAAAATATCACTGTTTGGCAGTCTCAACTTCCATATCCTTCATGCTATACATGCTTATTAGTTTCAAACCTTGAATCAAAGACATTGTTTCTATCCGTAAGGAATTTCCTTGTCCTACTGGGCCAGAAAAGCTGAGTAGGATTTTGCTGGTAATAATCTCTAATTACATCCTCCACTCCAGAACTCCCCAGGTTACCAAGACTACAACCATCAAAATTAAATTGTAATCTTCCACCTCTGGAACAGTCCAATTCTCCGCCCTTCGTTGTTTCACAGCTTGGTATCCAGCCACACAATATGCCTCTACTTCCTTTTAAAACACCGACTTGAATATTAAAAACAGTTCAAATATCTAGAACATATGTATTTCCACGTTTTTATCAGTCTGGACACTCGAATCAATGTGCTCCATCTGGTAATTCTATATTAGGAAAAAAAAAGAATCACCCATGGAGATGGTTCTTACCATCTCATAAAGTTGTTATAATATTTACAATAGTCTAGAGTTTAAGTGATCCAAATGGCTCATGAAGAGGTCCACTATGTCCTGATAGTCTGATACCCCTTACCAGTCCAAGAAAAAGGTATATCTATAGTTGCATCAAGGAGATGCATTATGGTTATTACTCGTACAGAAATTTTAGCAATATAATTATTTTATTCTTTTTCAATACAGGAGAATAACACACCACAAACCTGGAAAAATGAGCTAGTATAATCAAATGAGAGGCGCACTGTGCTGCTGCAATGCTCCCAATTTGTGGTGTATGATACACTTGTGAACAAATAAAAATGCCATACTAGCATTCCTCTTACTCAGTAATTTCAAATTTTCTGAAGTAAATAACTGAAATTGTATTGCAAGAGCAAGACTATATGGTATTCATTTCATTCAGTAGTCTTGACTCACTAGGGTGTGTGGGGGGATGGAGAAAAAATTCACAGAAGCTCTAAAAGAACACAAATCAAGCTGAGATGTATTACATCCTGGAATGGCAGAACAAGATTCATGTAGCCAACCCCATATAGTTGGACAAGGCTTAGATGATAATTCCATACCAGTGCTTTGCCATATTATATATTTATTGTAATTACTGACATTTGTAAACACATCATATGGCAGGTAAAAATTTACAAAGGCAAGTCTAATGCATAGTTGTCAAGGCGATGCCTAGGCAACAAGGTGCCCTTGGAGGCTCGCCTCACCCCTAATCGCTAAGCAGTGTTCTATAGCGAGTTATGAAAAACTTTTATATTCTTAATTTTTTGAGGCTATAATTATAAAATAAACCTTTTTAAAACTAAAATATTCATTTTGTGTGTTTATATACTAATTTATTTTTATTATTTTCTTATTTGTTAGGGTTTAATCAACATAAACATTGCTAAATGCTGTATTCAACCCTCAAAGACTTCAAAACCTGAACCAATAAGTAAGGAAGAACATTAAACGTTGTCCAATCAACACATTTTCTTCTTTTTCTTTACTAAATTTGTGTGTTTATATACTAATTTCTTCTTCTTCTTCTTTTCTCCTTTTCCTATAACAGAAATAGGGGTTCAGCCCCTATATATATATAATATTTTTAATTTTCTTTTCTTTCTTCTTTTTCTTCTCATGAATATGTTGATTTTCTATACTTTAATATGAAGTTTATACTTATGAAAACTATAGATAATTTATTATGGAAATATGATTATGGAACCTAGGGGACTACCCTAGGATACATGTTTTTACTTAAAAAAATAATCCATTGCCTAGGCGACTAGGCACCCTCCTGTTGCCTAGCCTCGCCTTGGCGCCTTGAAAACTATGGCCTAATGCATGGCCAGTCACATGCAAACATCTGTGTTAGTGGGACTGTGTCTATGTCATGAAAGCATGTACATTTTGTGTATGTGGGTAATACTACTCAACAAAGAAATAATACCTTAACATTAGAATGTACCGGAACTGGGGGAGATATGTATTTCTGTCTGATGGAATGCAGCTTAGCAACAACATTGGGAAGGACAGATGAGAGACCAGGGACATGGCCAAGAACCCAAACCAACTCATTTTCTATCCACTCGAGAAGTTGATTGTTGCAAACTGAGATGATGAAAACCGTCTGCAAGATAGAAAAATAGGGACATGACTTTCAAACTGGATCCAGATTCTGTGGTCTAGTTGCAAATCAAGACACTTCACAGCAATATGCCAGTTATTTTCTTTTTGTACTTCTAAAGATCTTCTCAAACTTAGTGTTGGGTGATAATGATAAGAAGAGATAGAACCTTATAAACAAAAAAAAAAAGAAGATAAAAACCAAAAATAACAAAAGAGCCAAATACCCCTACTAGACATTGCCTCCAGGATCTAAAGAATGAACAGATGCTTTACAAACCTGTATGTGGGTTTTAATAATAGCCTTTCCAATTAATGTAGCAAGAAAGAACTTCCAGAATGGAATTCCAAATTGGCCACACATGATGCCAGCAAGGTCAAATAGTGGGTTTGGCACCTGAAAATATCCTTCCAGTTAAAACACTAAAATGTAAATCAACAGGACATGTGTATGAAGTGGTGATAGTGCTATACTATGACAGAATTCGGGAAATCTTTATGTCATTTGACTTTGAAGGCATTTTTCTAAAAGGTATAGTTTTGGTCCCATATTACCAAGAAAGATGATAGTACGAGATACCAATAATACCTGCATCCGGATATTGCTCTTAGTTACAATAAATGTTTTACCAAAGTTCTCTATGGAATTGAAATGCAGGACCCAAGTACATGGAAACACTTTTCTTTTGGCTTTTTGAACTATTTCTTCTGTCCTTACTGTCCATTTAAAACATGTTTTCTTTGTTTTATTAAACTAAACTGAAGCTTTACTTTATTTAAGCCCAACTCATAATATACATCAAATTGCAGCAGTAATAATTAACAAGAGAATATGCTCATGTTAAGTTGATTCCTCAAAGCATATCTTACATGTGTAAGAAATGCAAATCTGAATTAGTTAAACAAGATTTGACTGAAATGTTATACTAAATACCAAGCACCAAAATGAAAGCAAAATTCAAATACATGTTTATATGAAAAAGTTTATTTTGGCATGGAGTTGCCACAAACAATATAAGTAATAGCAGCTCAAACAACAGATAGATGACACAAATTAATTTATTGGACTCCAACATAGTCCCAGATTTGGAAATCTTGTCAAATTCTGGGATCATGTTTAGGTGGGCAACCTATCGCTAAGGATACAATTCCCCTCTTTTTATCCCCTTTCCAAACATAGGGAGGAACCTATATCTTGTTTCTTGGATCCATCTAGTTCTAGTGCTGGGTGTAATTGGGATCTGGGTTTCAGAAGAGGGCTTCAACGATTTCGAAATGGACAGTGTCATAAACCTACTACAAAGCTTGGAAGGGGTTTGTCTAGATGTTGGAAAAAGGGATAGGAGAATTTCGACCCTATCACTCTCTGGCACCTCCACATGTGGTTCCATTTTCTCATCCCTTATTCAACCAAGTGAAAATCAAGGGTCTACCTTCCTATTTAGGGAGATTTGGAGCAAACCTGTCCCGCTTAGGGTGGGTGGTTTGTGCTGGGAAATGTATCTAGAAAGAATTAATACTTGTGAGTTACTGCAAAGAAAAAGACCTAATTAGTGCCTTCCCCCCATTGGTGCTCCCTCTACAAAGTTGAAGGCAAGAATTGCTATCACTTATTAATCTCATACCCTTTTTCTTCTTCAATTTGGGAATAGTTCTCTTCTTTGTTTGGGTGTAGCTGGAACCCTCCACCTAATATACAAAGCTTATTTGCACCTACCTTCGTAAGCTGGTCAAAGAAGAGGAGAATAATGCTCTGGAGCTGCACAAGGGCAGCAGTGTGTTGGACAGGTTGGGAATAGAGAAACCAAAAAAAAATTTCTTGAAAAGGAAAGAAGCTACCATTGAAGCTATTACAATCAAGGTGGTCCACTGGGTGAAGTCATCGGATCTTTTCAAGGATGTCTTTGTGGTGAGGTGATGAGAAATTGGAGAGAGGTAGTTGTTTCTGCCCCTTTTATGGAGGTGGTTAGGCCTGTTTGGTTCCCACCGCCTAGATGTTTTATTAAGCTCTACTTCAATGGTAGTAGTGAAGACAATCCCGGCCCACTTGGCATAGGAGGAATGTTTAGGAACAAGGAGGGAAAATGTCATTGCATTTTACTCAGGTCCAATTGGAACTGGGGACTCCTTAAGGGCTGAAATTATGGCTGTTATGGAAGGGATTCAAAAGACTAAGAAGCTGAATGCAAGGAAGAAGTTAATTGAAGGTAATTCAAAGCTTGTAATAAGCTGGCTCCAAAAAGAAGAGGAGGTTGGATGGTGGTGCTATATATGTGAGAAGAGGAAAACCATTAAACTGCTACAAGGGATAGAGGTGAACTGCAATTGGGTCAGAAGAGACACAAATGCTTTTGCTGATAGACTAGCTAAACAAGGGGTGGGAAGGAATAGTTTATTTTGGGCTGTGCTATAACTATTTTTTCTGTTGGGAAGGGGTAGGAGTGTGTATCCCTTCCCCTTTTTTCCTTTTTCATTGTACTAAACTTCTTATTTAATGAAATTGTTTCTATTATTGATAAAAGAAACCTAACATAATTGATCAAAAGACTACTAATTGGAAACTTAATATTAAAGACACAAGCATTATTTCTCTTATATAAGAAAAAGAAAATCAATTTCTTTACTGCAAAAGTTCTATTAAATAAATAGATGGAGAGGAAAGCTAAAGCTGACCGAAGCAAGTACTAAAATGGTAAGGAAGTTCAGATGTTGAGAGTGCGAAAGGAGCCAGCGTTTGATTTGCTTCAGGTGACTGGCTATGACACTGTCATCTTCTCTTGGTGAGGTATCAAGTTCTTCCATAGCATCCACTTTGTTTCCTGTTAGACTTGCTGCATAAAAAATATAAGTTAAAATGTTTCAGTAACCATATCATCCTGATAGACTTCCATAGCATCCTATATTTTTTTCTAAATACTAATATTTCAGTAAACCATGACTTGGAAATTCTTCTTGTCCAAGTGCTCTTGACAGTGCCAAAATATTTAACAACTGTATGCCACATTGAAAAATCAACACCTTCAAACATTAGAGTTTCTCTTACATAGTTGACAGCTACTAAAATAAAATCCCACCACATTTAATTTTCATGGCTGAGTTACATATGAACAAATATAAACAAATAAGCATTGCATCTGTTTTTTAACAACCTTACAGGTACAGTTCCTTTCCGGTAAACTTTCTTTTTATTACATATGAACATGTTAAAAGACCTTAGTTAATTGAAGACTTACCTGCTCTTGAGATAAAATAAGGAGGAAGCTCCCCAAGTGCAGTACCAATGCCCCATAAAACAGCCTCCAGCTGAACATGAGGTAATATACTGCTGAGGGGAACCATCACACCATCTGAGGATGTAAAGACTGGAGGCCCATATTCCGAGCAGTCCTTTTCAAGCCATGAAGGGCCCCTGTTCAATTGAATTGTATCATATGGGGCATATTTCAAATCCACTCGGCCACAATGCATGGCTTTTATTGTAAAAAGTGCTATATGTGGGCCCAGATACAACACAAAAGTGTGCAAACCCGATCCTGAGAGAGAAATGGAAAAAAGAAGAAAGAGAGAAGAAAATAGAAGTCAGTCAGTCAGTAAAAACAACAGTTACTGAAGCATTAGCTTTATCAGAAACCAAGTTGGCAAAAGATACAACAGAAACAAAGCCAAACGAGCTGAGTTTGAGTATATTCATTCACTTTCTCAGAAACAAGATAAAAGAAGACGTCACTTTTATGACAATGTGCAAATTCAAAAAATCTTTTTTCCCCAAGATTCAGACCTATCATAGAATGGTATAAAGAACCATATTTCACAAGAGAATGCCCTTTCAGTAATCACATTATTCAATGAGTTCTGGCTGGTCTGTCAATGGGAAGTGGTTGGGAACAATGCCACGAAAAGTTTTAAGGTTGGGGAGGGGAATAAAGAAGAGGCAATTTTTAAGAAGCCAGCTTTTGGGCCGACAAAGAAACTGGGTGAACTGGGGGTGGGTCGAGATGGTGGGCCTAATATTCAGGTGGAGTCGGGCAAGAATGCTAAGCCCGTGGACCCTCTTATTTCTCCTGGGCCAAGGGAGAGAAAATCTTATTCAGTTGGGCCCAGTTTTGAGCCCATTTCTAAGAAGCTAAAGTCACATGATCACTTAAGTCCACACGTGACCACAGGGAGGTCACATGATCACTTAATGCAGCACGTGAACAGTGGGAGGGAACCTCTTATAGACGATGTTAATCGTCTATCATCTTCATCCTTGAGTTCTTCTGCTTGTTCTCGAAAGGGAGGGCAGAGTCAACACTCAAGCTGCTCCCTGCAGTGGATCGCAGCGAAGAACCTGAATCGGCTGTCGCCTGAGAGGCGGAATCCAAGAAGCACCAAGGGGTCTGTGTTAGAAAGGCTAGAATCTGGTGTTTGGCCTGGAGAAGAAAGCAGTAGTGATGAGGACTTTGAGTCAGATGGAGCCTCGAGTTTGGGTAGTCTCGATCCGTGCACAAGACAAAAACTTGATAGAAACAGGAAGCTTGAATACAGAGGTTCTGTTCTTAGAAGAAGAGGGGACTGTTGCAGATTATTCCAAGGAAGAAAGAAGTACAGGAGGTGCTGTAAATGCTGGACAGTTCCTTCTATATCTCAAGCTGAGGAAGTCAACGTAATCTCTCAGGGCACTCGGGATTTAAATGGAAAAACTCAACCCTCTCTATTGAACTTGGATAAGGATGAACCAAAAAGGGGAGTACTGGAGTTGGGTCTTCAAGGGAGTAAGTTAGGCGTTGTTGTTAACTTTACCATGAACACTCTACAAAAGTCCCCTTGTAAGGAAATGACACCAGACTCGATCATCTTTGGCAAACAGCCCAGTCCTAGCTTTCCGAATGCTCTCCCTAACCAATCAGGTATGATTGTCAATTTATTTGTGGATACTAACTAGTGTGCTATGCCTGAAACAGATGTACCAGCATCCCATCCAGAAGGTACGACAAAAGTATGCTTAGAGGTGGAAGAAGGGAGAGTTGGGGAAGGGAATGTAGAGGATGACTTCACTTGGCTGTTAACTAATGTCTATGGTCCCAATTATTATAGAGAAAGGAATGACATGTGGGAGGAACTATATGCAATTCAAGGTTTATGGGAAGGTCCATGGTGTTTGGGAGGGGATTTTAATGTGATAAGATTTTCTGAAGAAACTAATAACTCCCAACAAACCATCACAAGTAGCATGAGAAAGTTTAATAGCTTTATTGCTGATTGTGAGTTAAAAGAGATCCCATTAGTGCAAGCTCGATTTACTTGGTCTAATTTACAGGAACTGCCCTTGTGGTCAAAGTTGGATAGATTTATCTTTAATGTTGATTGGGAGAACTATTGGGGAAACTTGGTATCTAGAGCCTTGCCTAGGGTGACCTCAGATCATTGTCCTATAAGAATAGGTGTGGAAGATTTTATCAGTGGACCTAGACCCTTTAGGTTTGAAAACATGTGGCAAACCCACCCGGATTTTGTGAATAAAGTAAAATTTTGGTGGAATGAGGAATTGAGGGGGATAAAATGGAAAGGGGTAAGATTTCACAAGAAACTGCAGAGGATAAGAGCCAAAATAAAAGTTTGGAATAAGGAACATTTTGGAAGACTTTAGGAGCAAAAAGTGAATCTAAACTCTTGGATAGAAGAGTTGGATGAAAGAGAAGCTCAATCTAGAATGGAGGAGGGGGAGAGAGTTCTGAGGGGACAGTTGAAGAAGGACCTAGAAGAGGTCCTACTGAGGGAAGAAATAAGCTGGAGGCAGAAATTGAGGCATAGATGGATTAAGGAAAGTGATGGAAATACTATGTTTTTTCATGATGTAGCAAATAAGGAGAAAAAATTGTGTCTAAGTTAGAGGTAGGGGGAAGGAATTCACTAACCAGGATGATATTGCTAGGAAGTTTGTGGAACATTTCAAATTGATTTACAGAAGACCCTTGGAAGAGAGGAGGGAAATCAAAGGGATTGATTAGCCAAGGTTGGAGGAAGATCAGGTTAGGAGGTTGGAAAGAAACTTTGAGGAAGAAGAGATTAGGAAGGCAGTTTTTTTGATGGACAGGTCCAAAGCTCCAGGACCAGATGGTTTTACAATGGCTTTTTACCAGGATGGTTGGGAGGTGATAAAAGGTGATCTTTGTGAGGTTTTTAATGAGTTCGCAGAGAAGCATATAGTCAGTCGAGGCATTAATTCCACATTCTTGGCCCTACTTCCAAAGAAAGTTGATGCTCTCCATCCTAAAGATTTTAGGCCAATTAGTTTGGTGACTAGTATTTATAAAATCCTGGCCAAGATCCTGTCTTAATGGATTAAAGAAATCCTCCCCTCCATTATTATTCAGGCTCAAGGGGCTTTCATCCAAGAGCATCAGATAATTGATCAGATTCTGATTGCCAATGAATGTGTGGAAGAGATGAAGAGGTCCAAGCAGAGAGACTTTGTTTGTAAGCTTGATCTGGAGAAAGCCTATGACTTGGTGGACTGGCAGTTCCTACTAGAGGTTTAGAGGAAGTGTGGGTTTGGGGGAAGATGGTGTAGTTGGATAACTGGTTGTGTTAGCTCTTGTCACTATTCCATCCTAGTAAACAGGGTGGTGAGGGATTTTTTTCCAGCTAGTAGGGGAATCAGACAAAGGGACCCACTTTCACCCTTCCTCTTTACCTTGGTAGCTGATGTGTTTAGTCGAATTATCACTAGAGCTTATAGGGAAGATGTGATAAGGGGTTGGAGAGTAGGCACAAACCGAATTCCAGTCACTGACCTTCAGTTTGCAGATGACTTGATGATCTTCTGTGAGGGAGGCTTCGGTGAGAAGGTGGAAATTTTGAAAGAATTGATTACAGTTTTTGAAGAAGTCTCTAATTTGAAAATCAATCTAGGAAAAARCTGCATAGCTGGAGTAAATTTAGTTTTTGAGGAGGTTGAGGCGATTGCAGGCTGTCTTGAGTGCTCCATTTCCTCCTGGCCCTTGTCTTACTTAGGGCTTCYGTTGGGAGCAAACCCTAGGGAGAGTAGGTTCTGGAACCCAGTCTTGGAGAAGTTAGAAAAGAGATTAGCTATGTGGAAGAAAAATTATATCTCTTCACTTTGATAAAAGCTACCCTCATGAATCTACCTACCTATTATCTCTCTATCTTTAGGATACTGTCTAGGGAAGTGAAGAAGTTGGAAAAGTTGATGAGAGATTTTCTGTGGGAATCGGGAGAAGGTAAAAAATACCATTTAGGGAGGATTAGGGCTCATGAATGTGCTTAAAAAGAACTTAGCTCTGTTAGGGAAGTGGTTGTGGAGATGGCCTTTGGAGCGGGATAGACTCTGGCACGAAGTAGTGAAGAGTATTCATGGATGTTCAGAGAGTGGTTGGGATGTTGGTGCATCAAGGAGGGCTAACCTAGCCACACCTTGGAAAGCAATTCACAAAATTCTTCTGTAGTTCCTCACCTGTGTCAGGTATGATGCTTGTTCAGGTAATTCTATTCGGTTTTGGAAGGACATTTGGGTTGGAGATCTCCCTTTGAAAGACCTTTTTCCTTCGTTGTACTCTGTTTCCTTGTATAAAAATGAGGTGATCTCAAAATTCCTTCCATCAAATTTATTCTTACTAGCTTTGTCTTGGGATTTTGGTTTCCGTAGAGGGTTAAGGGATGAGAAAATTGAGTGTTTGTCTACCCTTCTATGTCTCCTTGATAAGGTTTGGTTGGATCCCTCGAAACCTGATAAAAGGATTTGGGCCATTCACCCCAATGGGTCTTTTTCTTGTGGCTCCTTTTTCAAGTTCCTCTACCAATCTCCCTCTCAACAAAGTTTCCCTTCTAAAGAACTCTGGTGTAGGCTGGTCCCCCCCAAGGTTATGGCTTTGTGTTGGGAAGTGTGCCATGGTAAAGTAAACACAAAGGATAACCTACAAAAGAGAAGACTTGTCCTTTGTATTTCACCAAACTGGTGCACTCTTTGTAGATCTCATGGTGAGGATTGTAATAATCTATTTTTATCTTGTAGTGTAACTGCAGAGCTCAGGGCTTGGCTTCTATCTTTGTTTGGGTATAGTTGGGATCAGTGTTTTAAAATGCGGAGGCGTGACACTACCTAGAGGTGTGAGGCATAATTCAGAACACAAGAGGGGGGTATGAGGAGGATGAAAAGGAAGGGGGGATCTCAATTTTTTCTTTATTTTTAATAAAAACCTTTTATATTAAGAAGAATAAAGATGCATAACAGTAGTTCAAAGGGGGGGTCTTGTCGAAGCGAAGGTGAGCGAGCAAAATGGAGCAAGACCCCCCCAACTCAAAAATACAAATTGGGCTGCATCGAAAAGGGGGCAGGGGGTCTGGGGGGCGAAGCCCCCCAATCTAAGGGACAGGGTGCAAACCATTTTCTTTCCCCTTATTTTTTCTTCCCTTCCCTTACTTTTCTTTTTCTTTCCTTTTCTCTTTTTTTTCTTCTCTTTCCTTTCCTTTTCTTTCCCTTTCTTTTCTTTTCCTTTCCTTTCCTTTCCTTTTTTTCTTTTTTCTTTTTTCTTTTTATTTCTGTATTTTCATATCAGATGTGCATGAGGCGCAAGAGGCGTACGCCTCTAGCACGCCTCATGAGAAAAGCGCAAGAGGCGTACGCCTCAAAGGTGTCAGCGCCTCTGGCATACGCCTTAGGGCATTTTGGGAGCGCCTCGCCTGGAGGTGCCTCCAGGCGTATGCCTCCCACGCCTTTTAAAACACTAGTTGGGATATGCCAGCAGAAGTAAGCACAATCTTTAACCCTTCTTTCTTCTCTTGGCCCCATAAAAGAGGAAGGAAAATGTGGAGATGCTCGCGAGCAGCATTGTTATGGACAGTATGAGAAGAAAGGAATGTCAAAATCTTCCAAGAAAAAGGAAGAAGTAATCAAGCCTTAAAGGACTGCATTATGTCCAGGTCATTACATTGGTTAAAGACTCTAGAATTATTTAACCATTTCACTTTTACTGATTGTTGGAAGGATTGGAAGTTGGTAGCAAGCTGTTCCTCCTACAAGGGAAGGGTAGTGACTAGTTGGGT